ATATTGGGTGAGGAACACGAGACACTTAAAGGTATATACTATGTGACTCCACTTACACAAAGTTCAAAAACAGGAAAACCTAATTGATGGAGGAAGTCTTCCCTTGAGGAAGAGGGTAGTGACTGATAAAATGGGCCTTGGGAGGGTGGTTAAAGATTCAGCAATGTTTTCTTTCTTGATCTTGGCGATGGTTATGTGAGATGCTCACTTTATGAAAGTTAACCAAGCTATAAATTTATGGTCTGTGCCCTTTTCTGTCGATTTCCCCAGTGGCTCAGCAGTAAAGAATTTGCTTGCAATGCAGGAGCCACAGGAGATGCGGGTTCAATCCCTAGGTCGCAAGGATCCTCTGGGGGAGGGCATGGCATCGCACTCTAGTATTCTTCCCTGGAGAATCCCAGGGATAGAGAAGCCTGGTGGGCTACAGTCCACAGGGTCGCAAAGAGTTGGACACAACTGAGAGACTTAGCATGAATTTTCAGCTTCAATATAAAAAATACTTTAAGATTCAGAAACTAAATACAATCAACAGCAACCCAAAAGCCAATGTCATTCAAATGTCTCAGGATGAACAGTTTGGAGTTGAGGCCCATGAAATAATTCCAAAATCTCCAGTTTTAGTGACCGAAAAGCTGGACTGAGTCCATGTTTATGACCGTAAGTCTCAGAAGGCTCTCCATACAGCCAGGGAGCTCCTCCATACTTCTTTCCTGCATCCACATTCCCTTCCTGAGACAGCACTAATGCCTTGTCCTCTCTCCTCACATTACCAACACCCCCTCAACTGATTATCCCTCCAAGAAAGTCAGAGAAAAGAGATGGACTTGGGTAAGAACACCCCATCCCACTGCTACCAGTTCACCAGTCCACCTGTCCCTCTGCCCGTATGTGTCATCTTCCCTCCAGTTTCTATGGGCGACGGTGCTCTGATCCCTTTCCCTCTCAGCCTCTTAAGGACTTCCATAATTATCCAGTTCTTTTTCCAGCATCATCAATTCTTCCCTCTCCATGGAATCTAAACATGCCTCAATATCAACACCTTTTATGAAAATCTCCCTGGGCCCTGCATTCCCCTCCAGCCACGGTTCCATTCCCCCCTACCTTCACAGCAACGCTCCTTACAAGAGCTGTCTGTGCTTGCTCTCTCCTCTTCCACTTCTCCTGTTCTCTTCATCCCCTCTTATGTGGCCTTCCTCTCTACCCCTCCACTGAAATGGCACTTAGCAGGGCCACTCATTGCTAACAAGGTACCAGACTCAGTGGTCTTACATCAGCACTCATCTTCCTCTCAGAAGCATTTGACCAAAATGATTCCCCCTCCATTCCTGAGACACCTACTCCTGGCTTCCATCATACCACTCTCCTGATTTTCCTTCTAGCTTGCTCACTGCTCTTTCTTCTCTACTAAACTGTCAAAGTTGGACTGCCCTAGGGTAAGTCTTGGCCCCCTTTTCTTTACTCTCTACCTGGTCCTGAGCTCAAGGGTTTCACATATCATCTCTGCCCTTACATCCTGCATCTGCATCTCCAGCCTGGACCTCTCTCTTGAGTTCTGAATTCACACATCTAATTGTCTTAGACACAAGCATCTCACGTTAACATAGCACAAACAGAAAAGTATCAGTTCCACTACCCTCTACCCCAACCATAAAAGATCTACTCTTACATAAACCTTACCCATTTTTGGAAATGGACCTTCTATAAGCTATTTAAGGAAAAAAACTCACTAGGAGTCATCCATAATAATTATTATTATTTTCTGCTCTTATACCATGTAACCAATCTAATTGGTAAGTCCTGTCAATTCTATCTGCAAAATGAATTTACAATCTGAGCCTTTCTCACTGTCTATTGAGTCCCAGACATGGGCACCACTTGCACTGTCTAACTGGTCTATCAGCCTCCAGACTTGCCTCCAGAGTGACTTTGCTGAAGTGTGTGTCAGATGATGTCACCCCTGCAAAAAGCACTCCAGCCTGTCTCAGGGCAACAGGAAGCAGCTATCCAAGGATGAAGCAGCATGGACAATGGTGATATGGGTGGAAAGGCTATAAAGGGGTATGGAGGCATCCAGACACGTTCAAGGTGGGAGAAGAAGGAAGTCAGGTCACTTTTAGGCTTCTTCTCCCTTTGAAACCCCCTTAGGCTTTGAGCAACGCTGAAGGGAGACGCATAACATAGCAGATGCCACTGGTTCTCCACCCATACACAGCCCCTTTCCCCTTCCCAGGGGACCCCAGCAGAGATTCCCAAACACACCACAGACATTTTATTTTAAACATTTATTTACTTGGCTACACGATGTCCAAGTTGTGGCATGTGGGATCTTCACATCTAAAAGGTTCCGCATGCTACACCACAGACTTTTGACACCTCTCCGCATGGCCCAGGAGCCTGCTGAGCCCACACCTGGGGTGGGTCTCAGGAGCCAGGGAGTTCAGGCTCCAAGTGCTCTCATCAGTGAGTGGTGGAAGTTGATGGAGAAATACTCCAGCTTCCTCACTCCTCAGCGGAACACTTCCAGGTGTGTGCTGGATTGAACCCCAGTTGCCCACTCCCCTACTCGTTCCCCGTGCTTCATGGGATCCCCTCTCAAAGAAACTCCTTGCACAGAAATCCTTGTCTCCACCTCTGCACACTAAGAAGCCCAAATTAAGACACAATACTGTGTTTTTCCTCCCAAAGGTAATGCCTTTATGACATCAAACAGGAACAATGTCATCCTAAATTTATATGGACAAGAGAAGAGAGAGGTATGGGTACAAAGCATGGAGATCATGTTTTAAGAAAAATGTAAAAATAATAGGAGATTTTAAGTCTATCCCTTTTATTATATGAGACCCATCTTTATTTATTTATTCATATATAAATACATATAAACAGAATATGAAAGAAAGTGAAAAGTGAAAGTAGTCAGTCCTGTCCAACTCTTTGCCACCCCGTAGACTGTAGCCCACCAGGCTCCTCTGTCCCCGGAATTCTCCAGGCAAGAATACTGGAGTGGGTTGCCATTCCCTCCTCCAGGGGATCTTCCAGACCCAGGGACTGAAACCAGGTCTCCCGCATTGTGGGCAAATTCTTTACCATCTAGGCCACCAGGGAATCGCCTAAACTGAGTTCATTATATATTCATCACTTGTAAGCACACACCAAAAATTCCTTTTTCTCCATTAACCATTAGTCTGTACTCCAAACAGTGTAAAGGAATGTATTAAATTCTGGGTACATAACTACCCACCCCTGCCTCTAAAGAAAAAAGGGAGAAAACTCATTCTGCTCCAGTGTTGAGTTTCACTTATGAGAAATCTCATTTAAGGGGCAGTGTGTGTCACACACACACACACACACACACACACACACACACACACACGGGAAATGGATGCACCTCTCAACAGTCTGCAAAACTTCCCTCCACTCCTTTTGAAGTGAAATCACCACTCCCCCGACCGCACTCCCTAGATATCAGCGCTGTTGAAAGTGAAGGGCCTGTCCCTGCTGTGTGGTTTGGGGTAAAAAAGGAGGTAGGATTAAAGCGCTCATTTCAAGTCCCAAAAGTAAAATACGACTTGGCCCACGGCAGTCCTAATTCTTTCCAGAACTCATCCCCGGAATTGCCCTTTAAACAACCAGTCATTAACCCAACTCCGGGTCTTTTATAGCTGCGAAAACCGATCGCGCACATCATTTATTCATTACGCTTATTATTATTGTTATTGCAGAAAGCAGCGAATTCCCGGGCCGGGGTTCAAAGGGGTTTTACTTTATTTTATTTTGGGGAAGGAGGGCAGTGCTCGAGCGGGAAGGGTTGGTTAGAAGGCTGGGCCAGGTTGCAGGGCAGAGGTGCCCGGAAGTCCCCGGGGAAGAATGCCGAGAGCGCCCCCGCCCCGCGCGCTCAGCGGCCACCGCGCACCGGCGCAGCTGCTGCAGCAACCGGGGAAGCTTCTTATGTAAGTCAGAGCCGCTGACATCACCTTCGCTGTGAGCGTCGCAGCCGCTGAACTAGGCGCCAAAGGACCATCATGCTAACCTAGGGCCCCCGCCCACCATCCGCTCGGTTCTAAATGACTCCGACACCTCCTGATTTGGCCAACAGTGCGCCCGGGGACCCTCCTGAGCGCCAGAATTACATTTATTGGGAGCCCTGGGATGTCGCAAGAGTGAAGTTAACAGGCAGCAAAGGTGCCCAAGGGTCTTGCACACTCGGGTGAAATTGGATGATAGTACATGTTGGGGTGGGGGGTGTGAGGGGGGCGCGGAACACCTCCAAGATTCTTGGAGGGCAGATGGCATAGAGAGTCATTCAGTAGGAACCCTGTTGTGGTCAGGGCAGGAGAGACGCCCAAAGGTCTCCTCGACCTCCCCAGGGTCCGGGACACTTCTCCTTCCACGCCCTTCCCAGGCCACAAGGCTGGAGCAGAGCGCTTCAGAGTTCACTCCGGGAGGCGTGCGGCGCAGCGCTATGGCTCACACAGGAGCGGGGCACAAGTTCGGAGCTCGGTGCAGCCCCTGAGGTCACAAGAGGGCCAAAACTGCCATGGCATAGCAGAAGCCCTAAAAGGCCACTTTACTTCCCGAGCCCCCACAAGCACGCGCTGGGGTGGGGGTGGGAGGACTACACAGGGCTCAGGACGGGCTGCTGGAAACCACAGAAGTAGCACCAACCCTCTGCCTCCCGGGGAGGGAAGGAAAAATCGAGCCCCAGAAGTCAATGGCAGACCCCTCGGCCTCCTCTGTCCCCATAAATGCTCCCTCTCTGTCCACCGCTGCCTTTGAGGTCAGAGACCGCCCCCTTTAACTTTCTCCCCTGGCGTCTGCATCCCTCACCCGAACTCCGGGAAGACTGGGGTGAGTCCCAGGGGAGGGGAGGGATGGGGAAGCAAGAGTAAGGTGTAAACCGCAGCAGGCGCGGCGCCGCGGGGCTGGGATTGCGGCGACCGCGGAGGGCGCGAGGGTGCGGCGCCGGAGCGAGCGCTAGGCGGGCGGACCGCGCGGGTACTCACGCACTGCCTCCTGCTTGGGGTCCAGCGTGCCGAGCACGCGCTGCACGCCGCCGAGCTTGCCCTGCAGCGCCCAGACGCGACGGTGGGTGAGCTGGATGTCGCTCTCGAGCTCCTGGAAGAGACTGCACGCGTGCCGGGCCACGTCCGAGAGCTGCCGGAGGACGCGGGCCAGCGCCGCGTTGCTGACCGCGCACAGGTCCAGCATGAGCAACACCGCGGTGGCTGCCGCTGAGGACGCCTCTCCAGCCACAGACGCCGCCTCCAGGACCCCTGCCACGCTCTCCTCACCCGCCGCGGGCGCCTCTCCGTGCGGTGGCGGCGCCTGGTCGGTTGGCGCGGGCAGCGGCGGCCCGGGAGGCGCGGGGGGTGCGCGGGGAGGCTCCTCTGGCCCCGGAGCCACGGCCTCGTCCCGTCGGCCGGGCAGCTGCAGGGGCGGCGGCGGCGGTTCTGCGCTGCCTCCGATCGCGTCCTCCGCCGGGTCAGGCGCCGGGCGTCGCTGCCGGCACAGCCACTGCGGCTCCACGATCCGCTTGGCGAAAGGCATCCCGCGCAACCGGGCCGCGACTTTCTGGTCTCCTCAAAGCACCCCTGGCGAGTGGGGAAGCGGGCGCGCCCACCTGGGTGGAGAGGCAGCTGGAGTCAAGGGAAGGTGCGTTCGGGCAGTCCAGATACGCAGGGGGCTCCTCGCTCACCTGGCTTCCTCCTCTTCCCCGCCCTCCTCCTCGTGCACCGTTCCCTGAGTAGGATGACAAGCACCGGGCACAGAAATCCCGGGGCGCGCCTAGCTCTCCTCACTTGCTTCCAACCCGGGTCGGCTGGCTCAGCTCCATCATTCCTGCGCTCGCCGCCGCCGCCGCCGCCGCCGCCGCCGCCGCCGCCGCCGCCGCCCCGGCCGCTGCCGCCGCCACCGCCTATATAAATGGGCGTGTGTGTATGTGTGTGTGTGTGTGTGTGTATGCGCGCGCGAGCACGCGCACGCGCGTGTGTCTGGGTGGGTGGGTGGGTGTGAGTGTGTGCGCGCGCCTCAGTTTGAAAGTGCCCCGGCACAGGCCTCTCCCCGCGCGCCTGTCGGCCGCTCCGGGGAGCAATTACGCCCGGGATCTCTCGCCCTCTCTGGGCGGGGAGGTGGTTTCGGAAAGGCGCTTTGAAAACCCGGAGAGAGGAATCTGCCTCAGCCCAGGCGCAGGAGGCGGCGCGGGGGCGGCGGGGCGGACGTAGGGCAGGGGAGGAGAGGGGGAGAGGCCGGGGCGAGGGGGCGCAGCGCCCTGTGCGGCCGCTGGGAGTCAGTGGTGGCCTCACCTCTCCAGGCTTGTTCTGATGCAAAGACACTTCCTCGCCTCGGTGGGGTTAGGATTGAGACTGTAAACGTGGTGGCGGCGGGGAGTCCTCAAGTTGGGGTTGGGGGTGTAAGCGCGGAAGAAGGAGGGGGGGTATTGGGGATGCAGCAGCTTTGACATGTTGGAGCAAGTTGCTTCCGCCAAATTCCAGCTCTGAGCAAGTCCTTTGCGTTCCTAGCAGGAAAAACTGGGCTGCCCCTCAGAGTGCATCCTGGTGTGGCCAGACCAGCAAACGTGCAGCTTATACCACTTCCTGGGTATTCGTCTGCCGCTGGGCTGGACCAGGTCTCTACAGAACATCATGAATGAGACCCAAACCACCCATGAGCAAAACCCCAGAAAACTGCTTGCAGAACTCATTGACACGTCAGGTGGGATAAGCCAGATTACCTCCCTGTCACCCTACTCTGCTGATCACACACAGGGATGTTAAAGCTCTCCATCACAGAGCTGATGATTCACAGAAGAAAATAAAGTTTCCCCCTCTGGTTAACTGAAAGGTGTAATTTCTAAAAAGGTATGTACAGTATTTCAATTGCACCAGTCTAAGGCTGGATGCTGTCAGCCTAAAAGCTAAAAAAGAGTTTGAGAAATGTTAATAAAATGCATGCCTTCATCTCTCCAAAAAGAATACTGTAAAAATATTTTTTTTATTTTAAAGCCACAAGCCAGATCTTGGGAATGCAGACTTCATTTCATGTGTCTAAAGAGAACATGGAAAAAATATGTTTTATGGCAACAATAAAGCCCTCCAGACCTATGGTGGGGTCTCCTCTCCACTCTCCCTGCCTTTATAGCAGCAGCCTACATAAGGCCCCACACTCGGCACTCTGGATGGGCTCACACTTAAGTTATAAAGGCTTCAACAGACACCCCTCTCCTACCTCAAAAAATAACATTTTTGTCAAGAGAGTGTCCTTGTTCATAAAAGATCCAGGCTGAGGATGTGGGGGTAAAAGGACATGATGTCTTCAAGGTACACATGGAAGTGGTCCAGTAGCAACAAGAAGAATGATGGTGATAATGTATATGGACAAAGAAGGAGAAAAAAAAAAAAGGACAAAATGTGCAAAATAGTGAGTCTAGGTAAAGGGCATATTGGGATTCATGGTACATTTCCTGAAACTTTGAGTCTGTTTCCAAATAAAAAGTGAAAAAAGAGAATATTCTGGAAAAGCATCTTTTGGGAGTTTGTTTGTTTTTTTATCTCACAAATCTAAAGAGCTTAGAGCTGGCTGTTTTCAAATTCAGCTTGACTTTTTAATATGTTCACAATTCTGAACACTAGTTCTTCTAGGTAGCCAAGCCACCCGCTCCTCCCTAAACACTGAGGCAGAAGGAATAATGAGGGTATGTAAAAGCATCCAGTTAGGGGGCCTTGCAACGGGTCTGCCCCACATCTCACTGCCCTCCCCTGGCACTGCCCTAGTCGTAGCCTTCAGGGGCCAGTGCTGCAAGGCCAGCAGGACATGACCAGGGTGATGAGCAGGGTGGGGTCTCATTCCTAAGGGGAGCTTCAGATTATTGGGGAATTCCTTCCTTGGCCCTGACCACCAGACAAAGGTGATTGAAGGGGAGGACAGAAAAGTCCCCATGGGGAGGGGAAGCTGTCCTCCAGGCCCAGGAGGGGTAGAATTCCAGGAAGTAATTAAGTTCTAGAGCAGGCTAGCTACCTTGGTGTCTGCCCCAAAGTGGTCAGCAGAGTCAGGACTTCAAAATGATTCAAAGTACAGTTCGGCTGTGTGAAAAGGGAAACTTTTTGTCATCTCCTGGACTCCTGCCCATGTGCTAAATAAAGCCACGTGGACAAAATAAAAAGCTTTGATTATGGCTATTGATCTCCTTCATTCTCAGTGGCCCCCAAAACCTCCTCTGGTAGCCTGCAGGGACCTCTCAAGGTCACTTCAGCATTTTCGTCTTGATAAGTCTGAAGGATAGCTTTCCTTTCAAAGTCACCAAAAATAAAACTAATACAAATTAAAATATGCATTCATACCGGTGGGCTGATGTGTTTCTCAGTCCACTGGAAGGTGTGAATAAAGGCACTTTTAGAGAAGTGATTGTTAGGCTTCCCAGACACTGTCTAAATAAAAACTGTGTGCTAGCTTTTCAAGGGCAACTTCAGACCACCTCGGGCCTCACCGTATCCGTCCCACTTCAAACTTCACCCCCGCCCCCCGCCCCACCCCACAGCCATGGTTTTAGTTTGGTTCCTACTTCATAGAACTGAAACACTGAAATCATGTCATCATGAGGGGGTGCATGAATATTCTTTGTGGCAATGAATTTTCCATACATCCAGGAGCTGTCTCTCTTATTCAGATCTCAGATTGCCCCATTTGACTCTGGGTTTTCCCACAAAAAGCTCTGATGAAAACAAGATTGACATCTGAAGCCAGACTGTTACATCTACTTATGTGCATGTTCATCTCTCTGGATCACGATCCCCTCCCCTCCCCCCCGCCCATGTACACATATTTATCACCAAGAGCTTGCAGCCAAAAGGGAAAGAAAGGAGGCATTTAAAAATGACCCCACTGCTGAAGTCCCAGCAGTCATTCATGCAGCTCAGAGGCCAGCACAATCCTCCCATAAACTTAAATGTTCGGTCAGTATAAACCTTATGCCATTATAAAATGAACGAAGTATACTGTGTCAGCCCACCACCCAGTTACACACGTGCCTGTGGCAATCCAGGGGGGCCATGGTCTTTGCTGAAGGACTGGCATGGAGGGGCCACCCAGCCCCTTGGCCTCCAGCCTGGTGAGCCTCGCACTCTGCAGAGCCGTCAGCAAGCAGCCCCTGGAACCTCACAAGCAACCAAGCAGAAATTCCCGAAAAATTCTTCACCCAAAACGTCTGTTCTGTTTCAAATACCCCGGCGTAGATGCTGCACGCCATTATTTATACTTGAAAAATATTTCTTTTGTCCAAGAAATCCCAGGAGACACATGGGCTTGTTAGAATAACCATGTAATTATAGTGACTGGGGTCTCCCTCCCTCCACTCGGTGGCACCTATTCCTCTCTCATTCACTCCTAAAAATCCCGCCACTAAGTAAAAAGCTATTAAATAAAAACCATTTTCAGTCGGTTTACTGGTCAAAATTATGAGCCTCCCATCTCAAGCCAAGTTACCTAAACCATTTTGCAATAGGAACATCTATCAAGTTTACATAAGGAAAAAGCAACAATTGGAAAGTAAATGAATGAGGTTTGTCCATAAAACGTAATGTGAAGATATCTTGTAATGGGGGTGCCTTCCACTTGCCAAAGGTAGAAGCACAGATTTCAGAGTCTGGAGCACGGAGTGGAGAATAAATGAGAAGTTGCCATTCTTGGGAAACTACTGGAGAGTCATATGGTTCACATTCAAGCAGAACACTTTTTGGAGCTCACGGTTATCCTAGACTCAAACTGCACCCACAAATAAAGTTAGAGCACAGAAGAACACTTTGGGGGCAAAAGAAAAGCTGAAGATGGGAGAGCCGTGAAACACATGGGCAGAAGGCATCCGCACGGCCACGGGGAAGGCTGCAGAAGGTATTACTGGCCTCTTGCTCCACAGCAGGGCTCCCAGGGATCTTCTCCCCAGTGCTGTGTTATTTGCTGAGCTCTGAGATTCCCCCATTCCCGCTCTCCTTTAGCTGTGCTGGGGCACGGGAGGAAGCCAGAAGCCTGTGCTTATACACCGTCCCGTTGGAACCAGCATGCTTTCTCCCAGATCTGTGGTTCACAGCATGGACATTATGTCCAAAGCCTTCTTGAATTAGTTTCTGAAACTCAAAAGTTCAAGTTCTTCTAGTTCAAGAACCTTAAATTTGGTCTTATGTACCCATGTTCCCAGGGCTTCCCCGGTGGCTCAGTGGTAAAGAATCCGCCTGGCCAATGCAGGAGACATGGGTTTGATCCCTGGGTCAGGAAGATCCTGGAGAAGGAAACAGCAACCCACTCCAGTATTCTTGCCTGGGAAATCCCATGGACAGAGGAGCCTGGTGGGCTACAGTCCATGGGGTAGCAAAAGAGACACGACTTAGTGTCTAAACAACAACAACAATCCATGTTCCCAGGAAACGCCAGGTGGGGGGAAGTTCATTAAATATCAAAATGTGAATCCACCGTACACCTAAGTTCAGGTACCTGCCTATTGACAACTATCATATGTATAATTTCCAGGGCGGAGGGTGGTGAGGCTATATACCACAACA